AAATGTTCGATTGGATTGAGGTCTGGTGACTGTGGAGGAGTACGCAACTGTCTTGGAATGTGATAGAGGAGATATTCCTTCACAATTTTAGTTGTATGTTTCGGGTCGTTGTCTTGTTGAAAAATGAAGGTATTAGAAAGGTTTAAATTTCGGGCACCGTCTCGTAGATTTTTCTTCAGAATATCCAGATAAACATACTTATCCATGACTTTATCAATAATGTGAAAATTTCCAACTTCTTTCGACGACATACACCCCCATACCATCACACCGCCAACTCCAAGTTTGACAGTTGGATTTAAATTTCTCAGATTCAGTTCTGTTCCTGGTTTTCTCCATACAATAGTGTGGCCATTAACTTTAAATATTGTAAATTTACTTTCATCTGACCAAATTACATTGTTCCAGAAGTCCTGCGAAGAGTTTAAATTTGTTTTGGCAAAAGCAATTCTTTTCTTTCTATTTGTCTCGGAAATGTATGGCTTAGACCTAGGTTTGCGTGCATGATAATTGGACTTTCGCAGCACTTTTCGTACAGTTTCAGGAGAAATTTCCTTGTTGCTAGTTAAAAAAAAATGTCTTTTGCAATGCTTCCAGCAGAAAGTTTAGGATTTTGTTTAATTCGTAAAAGAATTTTTCTTTCTTCTCTCTGCGTTAGCTTTTTCGGTCTCCCACATCTTGGTTTTACAGCAAGACTACCAGTGTCAAGATAGTTTTGAATAACTCTTTGCACACTAGAAAATGGTTTTCCAATGATTTTACCAATATAACGAAGAGTTTTACCTTCATCTCTCAATTTGATAATTAGTTGTCTCGTAACTAAAGGAATTTCTTTATTGGTTGTCATTTTCGTCAAAGAAAATAAAAATAGCAACTTCCAATCAACGTGAAATTTGCTTCGGAAGTCAATGACCTTGAAAGTGTAACCTTCTTTGCATCCTCAAGTTTGAAGTTTAAAAGTTAGATAAGAAATCCCCCGCCTCCTTTGCGTTGTACGCAAACTTTATTGGCTTTGATTTCTGGCCCCTTATCTTTTAAAAATTAGTGTGCATAAATTATTAGATATGAAAATATTACAGTTAAATAATTTCAAAGTCCCTTATTAAAACTAAATATTTAAAAAATAAAACTTTAAGAAACTACCCTTTTCGCACCTTAAAATTTGGATTTGATATTACTTTTCTTGATGTACGCAGACTTTATTGACTAACTGTACATACGGGCCACTTAACCACAAAACGTTCTCCACGAACGCATTCCTCACCTCAGGCAGACAGTCCTAGTCCACTTTTCCATAATCCGTGAACCAAAAACCTTTTTAAAGTAAGTCGTTAGCTACTGAGCATACAAGTCTGCTGAATTCTGTTTATTCGACACGGCTTCAAATTCCGCTGAACGAGCTGGTTGAAGTGAAGGCTTACACTTCAAATGCAGTGTAAATATGAGCTTAGTTTCTCTTAAAAGTAGTTTGAATTGCTCTTCAAAAAAGCGGACTCTTTTCATGGCCTTTGATATGATCTAATAAATTACATGCAATCGTTTTAAAAGCCAAGTTGATTGGAGTAGCATTATATAGTGAAGGAATCGAATTTAACCGATTTCCTCAGTGTTTAGAATAGGAAAGGTGACAAAACTATTATAGGTCTCAAACACGAAATAGGGCTATTGAAATTACTGTTTCTAGATTACCAATAAAAGGAAAGCCAAGGAAAATTCATACCATGTGAAAAATTATGATAAAACATGAAAATCAGATAAAACCTGCAATGTAATATCCTATCTCGCTCATTTGCGCTTTTGCAGCTGAATATGGTGGTTAGGTAAAACCATCGAAACTAGTCCTGTGAAAATTTGAAAACATAACGCTGATTTTTGTTGTTTGACTTCTGAATTAGTACCTGTATTGGAAGCTCTAAAAAAGTAGCAGAACTTTCAGTTAAGATGAGTTTTACACGTTACAAACTAATTTTTGCAGAGTATGTGGTTACACACTGCATAGAACTAAGTATACAAAAATTGATTTTACATTCTAATATCACATTTTCTATGCTACTAAATTCATCATTTCCTAACACATATTCCGAATGTATTTCAGATATTACATTGTTTAATTTCGAAAGATGACGTATTTCAGCTGATAAATTACAGTCACATTTTTTGTTGTTTACAATTAGAAAACTTCGGTGAAGTTTAAATCTGGTAAACTTTTAATCTGCTTCACACCCAAGGGTGTTTAACTTGAAAAATAATGCACTAATGGAATATTAAAATAGAGTTGTAAGAAAGAAAAGTTGGCTATGCTCGTACGAAGAATGGAAATGAAGGTCCGAAAAGGTCCAAGTGAATTTAGTGTTAGGTATAAACCAAAGTGCAGATTGTGAAACTAATATGAGAGATTTTGCTTTAAAGAGGGAGCTTATGTATAGAATTTAGTTTTTTGACAATTTTATTCTTTATGAAATTTTTGAAAGTTATCCTACGACGTTCGATATCCAAATTTGAGAAAACGGTACAAATAAATTTATGGTTGGTGTAATTTAGCAAAATACTGCTTAAAATGATAGAAACAAGTGTAATATATTAGGAATCTATGTTTGTTTTTTATCTTACCATTTTGTTTTAAAAATGTTAAATGTCGGAAACACTAGATGCTTGCACAAAAGTATTTATCAACATTTACTTTTATTTTTGTCACTTATATTTACTAAGATATTCATGGATCAAAATACTTTTATTCCATTTAATTCACAGTATTTCATAGAGGATTTGTGGAACGTTTCCTAAAATTACTATAGCAACAGTAATTTTTTAAACTTTTCTTCTTAAAAAAATAAGTTTAATATAATGCAAATACAGGCAGAAGGAAAAGAAAATATTGCCGAACATGAAATTATAAAAATAATCTTGTCACCGAACACTTAATAAATAGAAAGATTCGAAATCCTCTTTTAAACATCACCATAAGTATCAAGATTTCGGCATTCCCTGCTCCGTGAACTTAATCACACTACAGGTCCCCCCACTCCTTAGAACCAGCCGCGGCGGTTCAACCTCCGCTCTGGCCCCTCAGAGAGGAAGGCGCATCTCCCAGGAAGTCTCCCAGACGGCACTGGTCGTTATTTGCCATCACCATAAATATCCAAATGAAAAGTTTTCATTTTAAAAATATTTAGAGTACCTTTATACATCAACCGCTAAGTTCTTAAAGAGAAACCTCCGGTTCTCTGCGTAGAACTAAAACAGCTATAATTCTGCTTCTAACGACCAGAGAACCAAAATAAAAGTAGTTTTGGGAAGTTTAATGTACAAACTTTAAAATAAAGTAATAATTGACGATTAGAAATGAAATCAAAATAAATTAAAGAAACCATAATTGACGGTTTTAATGTAGCCGAATATCTTAACATCTGGGAAATGCATTTATGTGAGAAATCCAAACTGGAGCCCTAAATGTCATACAGTCAATGTGACGAACTTCGGACGGCACTGATCAAAGGCATACGAGCACGCGCGAGACCGCGATTTTCATTCATTCCCTTGAATAAGCTATTTTTTCCCCATAATATTTTCTTTTCTTGGTTCTGGTATTTAAGATTAAATACAAATACCGCTTCATAAGTTTAATCATTATTTAAACTAATTCTTCCTATCGAAAAATTTAAACGCTTTTTTACTCTTTTCGTAAGCTGTGCAACCTAGCTGAAAAATTTGCCAATCAACAAATTTCAAACAGATATTTTTTTCAATTTATGACCAGAACTTAAAATATTAAAAATGAATAATAAATGCTGTTTATAACAGATTGTTCATAGAAACGTAAAACTTTACATATTTTTTTCGTAGGGAATAATAAATATTTAATATTGGATTTCTTTTTCTCTTCAAATCTAGGTTCAAGATCTACGAAAGATCATATATTAACGAAGCATTTTTGTATTTTTGAGATTTCAGGTAATCAAAACGACCTGCAACTTGCACCGCACGAACAAAAGAAATGAACTTTGTTCAAAATAGCGGCACTAAATTTGCTCATTTATGATAAAACAATTTTTCTTATAGCATTTATTGCCAATATTACGATGTTCGTTACTAAAATTTAATGAAACAACTTTTTATAAATAAATGCATAAAAACGCTTATGTCATTCCCTCTTATAAAAGGAGGTATTCTTTTCATATCATTTGTTGCATAGGCCTAGTTTAGCTAATAAATCATGGTATAGTACCATAAAATATTATAGCATTACCACAAAACATTACAGCACTATATGCCCGAAGCAATATCGTCACTGAATACTTTAAAAGTTGGCAGTTTCCTGTTCGCATTTTGAAAGAAAATTAAAAATCTACCATGCACTTGTAATCTTGGCACTTATTCACTCAGCCGCTGATACGCCTATTAAAAGACGAAGTAACCATACATGCAGATTACCCATAGCATAACCTTTATTGGTAAGAGTATGCTTACGCGGCAATGGCTATAACCAAAACAATCATGTTATCTCCTTAAATAAAATCGCACTTGTTTTTAAAAATTTTGAGGAACTGGATTCAAGCATTTTTTAAGTTTAAAGGTTCAGTTAATAACAATAAGTGCTTTTTAGGAATTTTTATCTCAATTGTAATTTTATAATTACTGAATATATTTTCAGATATTAACAAAATATGAATTCCATAAATTTGATTAACTAGTTTAAAATGATTTTACTCTACAATTTTATCCTTTTTTAAAGTTATTAGCCTTTACTAACTACCCAATAGGTAAATCTCCATTTAATATATTTTAAATGACGTAGGTGGGCAGCTCAAAAATAAAATATTCGTAGCAAAATACCAATACTTAGAAACCTGAAGAATAAATAGCAGGAATTAATAAGAATTTCGCGTAATTCAAAAGTAACAATAAAAAAAAACAATAAAAACAATAAAGTAACAATAAACTAAGTAACAATAAAAAAAAAAAACTACACAACACGATTTAATAAAATTTATTATACTTACTTCCTACAAACAACGAGTAAACGAAACTCCATAACTATGAACACCGGAATTATATAGCACCTTCTCAACTCATTAAATAAATAGTTAATTTCGGAAACAGGACTTGGACAATCCCCATTGGTCTAGAGAACTGTGAATAATTTAAGAGCGGTTTCGGTTATCGGTAGCCAAAGTGCATGTTGCCGCTTATATTTCAAGTGACTGCCGTAATTGTCTAATAAATAAAAATTGAGATTTAATAATAAATGCACTAAAACATGAATACTTGTAAGAAAATCAATAATGCATTATTTTAAACAGTGTTACTACAACAGCATATTATATTTACTCTAAATTAAGGTCCTTCTTAAATTTTAAAATACATTTGAAGAAATAAATATTCAACTGAATGTTTAGTTTATCTTCTAAACATTTATAAAATATTAATCTCAGCATTTTCCTTTCTTCAAAGTTTCCTTGAAAAAAGAGCACTGTTAGAGGTGATCCAAGGACATTTGTTCACCATTTGTTTACCAGGCACACCAGTAACCATTACAGTGAACACAAGTCTAAATGGAAATCGCTTAGCTAGACCTAGCTCTTAAATGATTAGCAGAAATTAGCTGCATAGAAGGTATAGTGGTTAGGAGAGTCTACTGCTGTACTGAAGGGAAAGGATTCGAATCCCGGAGACGGCATGGTTGTAACTGTTGTCCTTTCCTTCATAGGAAGCAACGGTGGTCGCTTATTAGGTACCTCCACAACAAAATGGTCACCAATTCTGGTTTTAGGAGTGGCCAGAGCTAAATATGAAATTACCAGCCATTTGATTAAAAAAAAATAAATAAATAATTAGCAGAAATTGTGGAGTTTTAAGTGCGGTATTTATTACATGTGTGGTTTATTCAGTACTTAAACATTCTAATTATTCCACATAGTACTATATTTAAACTTGTTCCCCAAATTATGCAGTTTAATTTATTAAAATGTTAGTTTATAACATCCTAACAAATTTTAGAATAAAATTATGGCAAAGAAAGAAAATCTTATATTGAAGTAAATGTATGTTAACGTAATTTTTGTAAATTCAATAGTTTATTTGTATTTAAATTTTTACAGAGTTCTGTGCGGTTGTGAACTAATTTAAATTACTTACTGAGGGCTCTTGTTCAGATGATTTTCTATTCATCTATAGATTAATGAACACTGAAATTTTCTCAATTTATTTTGTTGCTAAGAGTTAATTGTATTCATTATTTCATATAGCGTTTAGTTCTTTGTCATTTGAAGTTGGAACTGTAAAAATAGCTTTAGGAGAATCACAGGAAAAGTACTGGAAAACGTCTCCTCTTCCTACATATATTGATATTTAAATATACATTAAGTGGTATATGACCATTCTTCAATAACTCAACGTTATTCTGGAAGTTTCCGGAACTGAATTGGATTAATTGAATGACAGAAAGCCATTTCAGACCTATCAGCTTATAAAGTTCGAAGAGAAATGTTTCATGAGGGTAAACCATGAAAATACATATGGAGACAAGGTAGTTTGTCGAGATTTGAAGTGAAGTCGAAACTTTTTGTGTAATGAGTTTACCTTTCTAGGCCAGTGCAAATGCAAAATTTTGTAATACAAGATTTCAAAGTGTTACGTTAAGGTTACGGCTTCAGAGTTTACTCTAAATATTGTGCGATTTCTTTCGAGAGGAAAGGCGAAAAATAGAGGTATGAGCAGTAAGATGCAAACGCCGATGAAAGATCAGATAATTAGATTGTGCATAAAGAATTATTTTGCTTTCTGTATCTGTTACCAGAGACACGAGAATTCCTTCTGTAACCTTAATCACCAAAGCGAACAGCAGGGTTTGTCTAGAAGAGAGAACGTGGGCTTTGAAAGAAATCTTTTTACACATGAATTGTCGGAAGGCCTGGGAAGAAAAATTATTTTACCGACATTTAACAAATGACTGAGCAGTAAAGGCTCCTATACTACACGGGGGACATTTTACAGCAATTTAGGTAAAGTCTAACAGATAAAAGCCTCTGTACGACAGCGATGAAGAGATCCTGATTACTGATGTTTGGAAAGAGACTGCTTCTAGAGTCTTAGTTAATTCGTCTTATGATTGGAATGTAATGAGCGATGTCCATTGTGAAGGTTTTTGTTTGCAATGTGTTATTACGAGAGTCATTTCGAAAAGGTTTCTTCGTGATTCAAGAATTTGCATTGGAGTTCAGATTCTGTGACTATTTATGACGACAGTGTGTAATACTCAGATTTGCAGCAGGCCATACAAACACATTATTCGGTACTCTTCCGTTTTGAGGACCGTACAAAATCGCCAAACTATTGTTGTTGCTAGGGCTGCCAAAAATAATTGCGGCAACCCTAACGCAAGAAAGGAAGAATAATAATAAATAACTAATATTGTTTTAATTTAGATGAAAGGTTAATTTTATATAACTCTTTTATTGTTATAATTTATGTAAAAAATCTAAACTTAACTGAATGGAGGCATAAGAGTAAATAACTAACTCAGATCATTATTATAATTTATACAAAAAAGGCTAAACATAACTGAATGGATTCCTGCATCGATATTTCGCTACCGTGTTTTCGCTAAAGCATAATTTCATCTCGTTGGTTATTCAAACATAATTTTCGATAATGAATGATGCCTCTTCTTTGAAAAAATTCTATTGCAGACTTTTCGTCATCGGGCAATTTCTAAATTGGTAAATCCATAGCGTTATCAAAAAGGGATTTAAAAATTAAACTAGTATTTCAATGGCGTCTTAAGTAATATAGAACTTTCTAAAATTATGCAATTTGAAATCAGCGCGTACGCTAGACTTGACGTTCTGTTAAATAGGCGCGTTTGCGAGATTTGGCGCTTTTGCGCATACATTTTAGCTGCAATATTTTTACGGTTCTCAAAACGGAATAGTACCTATTATTCTGTAATAATCTAGCGTGCTGGATGAAAGGATTTTTTGGTTACCAGAATATCGAAACTTGCTTATGTAAGAACTCTTCACCTCCTGGTCGCCTGTGGTATTGATTATGTAAAACTAAGTTTTGATACTTTAATATACATTAAGCGGTTTAGTTCCGGATTAGGACGAAGGTAATTTTTCTGTAGAAATAGTGAATTTAATATATTAAAGTGGTTCTTAAGGATACATTTTAAAACTGAAAGTTTATAATTATCTGTCTGCGGCAGTAGAGTCAAAGATTTTACAATTATTTTATCTAATCGAAACTGGGTAAAAAAGTTTAGGGCTGTACTTGATTGGAAAATTGTTCTTTTGGAAGTGTTCTGGTCGGTGATTATTCAAGCACCACTATACATTACTCTATACAAACAATTTCTTGAAGGTTTCGGTAGAATCTTCTCTTTCATTTGAGCAGCATTAGAAGCAGGAAGTTTTCAAGAGCTGTTTGCCGATTTTTGTTCAAACTGCATAGTCTATTGCGCTATTGCGTTGCTCTTTGATTTTAGATTGCTCTTTTCAGCAGTTTGGCGGTGGGGCATATTCGCAATGAATTAAAGAGAGATTCAACTTATTTCACTAGTTTCCTTGAATTGATTTTCTTTGTGTTTCTTATGAGTAAAAGATATCACTCGTCTAGCGGTGAAATAAAGATTCAAGCTATCCTCTGCAACTGGTCTTGCTATTTAAGGAGATCTGGAAAAACTACTAGCATCAACAGTATGCTCAGTGAGATAAGTGCTTCATTCGTTTATGACGATTGAATTTTCGTTAAACATTTGTGATTAAAATTGTTATATATAGTCTTAAGTTGACTAAAATTATTATTGATTAAAATGATTAAATATGCCTTAATATAGGAAAAGGTATAAATTAAAATTTGGTTAAATTATCACGTTGTATTAACCTAGTAATAGGTTCTCTGTAAATGAAATTCAGCAGACTCTAGAACAGAAATAAATTTCTTATTTTGAGAGTTGTCACACTAACTGATAAAATGCATCCGACGTAAAATTTCGTTTCATTTACATTTAGAAAGATAGGTTTTGGAATGACAGATCTGGTGCTTTCCTAAAAACATATTTTTCCTTAATTACCTTTCACCGTTAATTCCGTTGAAGAACTTATGGTTTGCACAATACTTAAATTAAGAAATACAACTCATGTTCAAAAACAGAAGAGAAATAGCCCAAAGTAAAACAAAAAAAAAAAAAATTAAGAAAGCAACAGTCTTGCGTTTGATGTGTTTGCCCTCGAAAATCCATAGAGTTCTTGACTAAATCTACACCAAACACAAGCTGGTTATTTAACTTATTTTATACAACCGATATTAGTCCATTTTGTTTAAATATTGTTTTCCATTTCTTTCATGTTTTGTAAACTATTAAACTGCTTAAATCGGAAGCATTTTGAGGACTCTTGTACTATTCTGACATTTGCAGAGATAACGTTAGTCAAAATTCTCTGGGCCGTTGGTAATACATTCAATACCCGACGATAAGCAGAAAATATGCTCTGAAGTTACAGCTCGGAACACGTAATGTACGAAATACGAGCCTTTGAACATCAATGATAAGGGGATGCATAGGTTATCAATAAATGGCTATGTTTTAACGCCATTATACTCCAGACTTGTGAGAGGGTCATCGAGAAGACCACAACTTCCACAAACAATGCAAAATCAACATCATTTAACATTTAAAAGGTAAAAATGTATCATGCAAGAGACTAATTATTTAAAATTAGAGCAAGAAGTGAGTCTATCGGCAAAAATGTTCAAGGTTTCCTCTCGCGCTGCTACGAGAGCGCCCGTACATTAGGCAGCAAAAAGTGATCCTGCCACTCACTGCATTCCTCGCATGAAAATCTTCCGCCATAAATATATATGTCTCATGGAAATGATAAAAATTGAAATTTGATCAAATCCCTAAGCTAGATAGATGATCATTTCAGGAAGTTGTTAAAATTACAACTCTGTGGGATGATTTCCTTACAGAAAGTAAGTGGCTTGATCAAATCATTTAACTGTTTTAGACAAAAGGTGAAATAATATTTTTAAGATATTAAAATTATTTATTTAGTAAACCAAGCATTATTAAATATAGAGTAGTTAATACAACAATAGTTATTAAAACAAATTACATATTTGAAACTAATTAAAAAAGATATAGGTACTTAAGCTGATACTTTTAAAAACAAAGATGATATTTTTAGTGAACTTTTAAACATTTTA